TTCGCCATCCCACTTTCGGTTGACGCACGTGACCTCCCAGTGTAGGGATGTGCTGCTGTTGCAACCGACTACTATTCGATCGTTGTACCGCTTCGCCCATCCCCGATCCGGCGGTACGTAGTCGGAGCATCCGTTGGCTATGGGGCGGTGATGATGACGATGATGGTTACAATGATGATGATTGTGATGATGATGGTTATATCGACGCTAGCACAGCTGATGATGAAGATGATAACGATGGAGATTTCGAAAATGACGAAGACGATGATGGCGGTACTTATGATGATGATACTAAACATCTCAAACAGCCAAAAGAACACTACCAACACCACCACCACCACCACCACCGCCAACAACAACAACAACTACTACTACTACTACTACTACACATACAACAACAACAACAAATAGGCGGGAACCAACTCGGCTTCTGAAGCCATTTCAAATTTCAAAACAACAATTCAGGCAAAATATGAGTAATAACGCACACACACACACACACACACACACACACGCACACACACACACACACACACGCACACATTCACACGCACACACACACGCACACATTCACATATATTTTAATCCAGAATAACTCATTTGAAAATCATGAACATTTCATTATTAACCAATTAAGTCTTCCCTTTACATATATATATGTGTCTATGTGTATTCTTACTCTCTCTCTCCTCTCTCTTTCTCTCTTTCTATCTCTCTCTCTCTCTCTTTCTATCTCTCTCTCTTTCTATCTCTCTCTCTCTCTATCTCTCTCTATATATGTATATGTGTGTGTGTGTGTGTTTTTGTGAGTGTGTGCATTTAATTTACGCTAAATTGAAACACACACAACACACGCACAAACACACAATACTATGTGAGTATCAGCCTTACTCACATGTTTTTTCCAATATATATATTTATATATAAAGAGAAGAAGAGAAAAGATGATGAAAGGGAGGGAAGAAAAAGAGAGAAAGAAAGAGAAAGAGAGTAAACTAAAAATGAATGTTTTTTTTTTATAAAGTAAAATTTTTTGAAGTTTTGTGAAAAAAAATATTTGATTTATGACAAAAATTTTAAAGATTATGTACACATAGATGAGAGAAAAAATTGGGTGAACTGATGAACGGACGGATGGATGAACGAACGAATGAACGAAAGAATTAACGAACGATTGAACAAACTTATGAACAAATAAATGAATGAATAGTCGAAAGTGTATACATAAATTATAACAAACCACTCAATCAAGCAATAAACTAACCTTCGTAGTATATCACATACTGCCCCAACGAGCTATTGGTCAGTGTGTTGATGACGTCAACCACATTGCTGACCGAATTATAAATCACGCTGACCTTTGACCTTCCGCCGCAAATTTTGTGGCTCCGTAAAACTGAGGGTTCACTAATTTGCCCGTATATGTAACACTCGTTCGATTTGTTCTGGCAAAATTTATTATTTTGGAGTTTTATTAATGATAATAGTAGTAGCAGCAGGAGAAGCAGTAGCAGTGGCAGCAGTAGCAGTAGCAGAAGTAGCAGCAGTAGCAGTAGTAGTAGTAGTAGTAGTAGTAGTAGTAGTAGTAGTAGTAGTAAAAACCCAACTAGTAATTTTTATACTATTAGATTACAAGCAAACACATTTGAGAGATTTGTCTTCATTCTTACTTGAGATTTCAAGGTCAAAGTTGCGAGAGGGTCTGCACAGTTTAACTTCGCTTTACAAATATAAATCTACTATTTTTACTGCCGGCTACTACTGCTACTACTGCCACTGCCACAACCACTACTACTTCTACTACTACCTCTACTACTGCTTCTACTACTACTACTACTACTACCACTATTACGCTGTTACTAATTATATCATCATCATCATCAACAACAACATCAACAACAACATTATCATCTTAATCATCACCAGCATACATACTCATACACACCCACACATACGCACACAGCACACACACATACACACACACACATAAACACATACACATAAACACATACACATAAACACAAATATACATAAACACATATACACATAAACACAAATACACATAAACAAATACACACACACGCATAAAAATTTTAGAAATAAAAACTCACATGGTGCATGCTAAAGTAGGCCACTCCAAAATCATACAAAGTGAGGTTGATAGTTTGACCCGAGTTGACCTCAATTCTCCATGGGCAGCTCTTTCCGCCACACCTAACTAGGTCATACTTAATTGGGTCAAACTTAATGGGGTCAAACTTATTTAGCTCGAATTTGTTGCTTAGGCCGAATCTGTTGTCTATGGTAACTGACGATGTTATGTAGCCGGATTGGGATCCGCTTATGTGGGCGTGGTTAGAGGTCGGTGATTGACAGCTGTCGCACGCCTGTCGTTGGGCTGTTGGGGGGGGGGGGTTGGATTTGTGGGGGTAGAGTGTTGTTATAGCAGTTGTATTAGTTGTTGTTGTGTAGTTTTTGTAAAAATTGTTGAGAAGTTGTAGTAGTAACAGTTGTTGTTTTTGTTGTTGTTGTTGTTGTGTAGTTTTGGTGATAGTTGTTGAGATGTAGTAGTAGTAGTAGTAGTGGTAGTAGTAGTAGTAGTAGTAGTAGTAGTAGTAGTAGTAGTAGTAGTAGTAGTAGTAGTAGTAGTGGTAGTAGTAGTAGTATTTGTACTTGTTGTGGAAACTTTCAGGATGTTGTTGTTGTCGTTGTTGTTTAAAAACATACGAATCGTTGAAATTTATTTCGCCAGCGTTAGTGTAAATGTTTAAAAATTTAAATGCTTTATTTGAGGATTGAGGCATAAATCAGCGGAGAAAAATACATAATGATAAACAGATGATAATAAAAAATGATGGTGGTGATGAAGACGACGATGATGATAAAAATAGAAAGCAATTAAAATTTATTGAAAATAAAATTTTTGCAGAATACATCTTGAACAGACGCAGCTACTACATTTTAAAATATTAAAAACACATATACATACATACATACACACACAAATACATACATACACACACACACAAATACATACATACACATACACACATAAACATACGAAAGTACATAAA